TAGCATGACAGGATGACAATCAGCGTGACAGAGCAATAAATTATATAACAAGTTCTGAATTAAATTTTGATAACAGTGCTTGATTTTAAACAATCGGGTTATTTTCTGAACTTTGCTTATTCCTTTTAGCTTTCAATTTCGATTTTTACTTTTTTCTTTTGTTTTATATTTGTTAGAAACGAGATCAACGAAATGAAATGTTAGAGAATAAACAGTGACTTTTATTATTCAGCAATCATCCATGAATCGTCATTCGACGATTCCGCATAACCACATTTTCATAATAATGCAACTTTATGCCGGATTGACTTGACGGAAGCTCTTTGCGATACCAATCAGTTTAGACCGTCTTTTCATAGCAACATCTTCCTAACTTTCCATCGTACCGTCAGGTTCTGTATAACTTACAATTTTATAATTCTCATTTCTGCTTGATGAAATGTGATTTGAAATATCTCAACTATAAGTAAGAAACAGAATTTCTATATTCCGTACTTCATGGACAACATGCCAGGTAAATTTAAGGCTGCCAAAATGAATTCATTTTCCAAATAACATCGTGTGAATTTTAGAAAGCTTGACAAAATTTTGATGAAAACTGCCATATTTCCGATATAAATAAGGGTTTCTAACGTCTGCTGAAAAAAGGAAAAAAATGCAACGTATACTTCATATAATCTCGGAAGCAATTTTTTTATTTTATCATAGTAGCAGACTGTTTAGCTAATTAGATGGACTAAAACTAAGCGAACTTTCTTCTGGAAATCGATCTTGACCGTAATTATGTTCACCATTTGATATTTATGAATTTGTTACTTAGTACTCTCGCTATGAACATAATCAAAATTTGCATTTCGAAACTTTGGTCCTGCTTGATTTGAAGCTCACGCTATTAAAGTCAAATATTTAATATTCCATTCAGTATTAATTGAATAAAAATTGAAGAAAGTGCATGGCAAGGAAAGTACGTGTTGTGGATGATGATATTATGCTAAAAAAATTGCATGAACAAATAAATTTTGATGGCCATAAAAAATGGATCTTATTTTCTTTCACACTATTACTTATTATTCTTGCTACCATCATTGTACCAGTTATACTAATAATAATTCAAAGTCATCGTTATCACTCAAACGAGGATCAACCTGGTTGAAATTTCAATTTTTTTCACTTAATTTTATCACAGCTCAATAATAATGTTGGTAATATTGGCATCAATTGGCAGAAATTATTACAATAAAATTTTATTCTATAAATTTTAATAATTAATATCTTCGCACAATGTTTTTCTTTTCCGCTCCACTTCCGATTGGATGGAATTTTGAAGTACTGTCAGGAAATTTGGATGTTTTGTCAATAATATAATACTTGAAAAAGCAAAATAACAGAAAATGGATGATGCTATTAAAATAGGAAGTTCTGTTCTATCTATCACAATGGATGAAAATTTTAATTTTAGAAATGACGACAAATGCTATGGAAATCGTAAAGACAATCCCTACCGAAACTATCGTTTTAACGGTATATACAGCTGAAGGAAAAAAGCAAACGAAGAATGAAATTAAAGAAAAATCATATAGAGTTAGTAATCATTTTTCAACGATTTCATATTGATAAGTCAATTAACTGAAAATAATTTGGAATGAAAAGAATTGAAATAAAATGATTTTTTAGGACAAAATACTAGAAATTGTTGAGAAAGTAGTAGAAAGGAACGATAATCCTTGCGCAACATACGTCATCGAGGAATTTAGCGACAAAGCTACTTTTAGCAGATTGCTATCGGAGGCAGAAGTTATTTGTGAATTAGAAAAGATTTTTCATGATGTGAAATCTGCTGTCAACATTAGCATTGCAAAGTAATCATATTTCATTCTTTTGTTGTTTTATGGAATGAATGAATAAATTTTGAAATGTAAGTAATTAAAATTTTTAGAATTTCGAATATTTCAACTTTTGGTTTAAATGTTTCTTGAAAAACAAAATTGTTTTAGCGCAATTGAATCATTTCGCAGAATTCCATGGGCATCGCAAATTACAAACATATTGTTTGTTCCGGATGAGACCATGTACAGGTCCAATTATCGTTTAAGCTTCATTAAAAAAAATGGAATCATCTTTTTCCTGATGAACTTAATTACTTCTTATAACCATTACCACCTTTTTTCTCTACGTCATTAAATTAGCTGCAAGTAATTTTCGGATAGAATAAGTTTCTTTTTTATCTGCTCTCTAAATATACAAATAGTTTTTGAAATTTTGTCGCACTTTAAAAATTCTTGAAATTAATTAGTCAACTTGAAATTTCTCCAGTTAATGAAATCTCAAACGTGGTTAGATTAATTTTCAGAAACCAGAAAATGTTCAGAGATGATATGAAGTCGGCGAAAGATTTATTAAAACGAATGGCAACCGAGAATCTAATCAGTGCACCTCGTATTATCATCGGTAATTCGATGTGTTTCCGCGATATTGATAGATCCGTGAGCGTGTATTCCTCAGATATGAGCGTTAATGAATTAACAAATGCTATTCTACGCGGTTGGTTACACAGCAAGTTATATTAAGAATATTTATAAAACTCTTATTAATATGATTGGTCAGATACTTTTATAGGCTTTTTGTTTACAATTAACTACACACCAGAGATATAAAATTGCCAAAAAAACTCGCAGTTTATTAACTTCTTTACTTTCACAATATACCAGAATTCCGAGTACTTTTCAAACCTCGAAATTTCATATTGTTCTGGAAATGTTGCGTCTTGTGTATAACAAAAGTAAGAATTCGCATAATTCTCTCTACCTTTATTATTTTTCAGCGTTAAAAGCAAAAGAATTTACGATGTCAGAAGGCTTGTTCACTTCAATAACTTCAATTAACGAAGATGAAATGGCACTCTCCAATACTTCAAAAACTCACTCGACACGTCCCTGGATTAAGAGTACTGCTCAAGAAAAACAAATGTCAACATTAGACATCGAAAATATTGATTCAACCACAACTTCATTCGATCTACCAATGACAGTAACTGGATCTGCAGAATGTGCACCACCAAAAACATTTGTAAGTTATTCGACTGCAGAATCTGAAGTAGTTAACTCTACCTCGACGATAAGTCATACGGATAGTCAATTTCAAAATCAGAATCAGAAGGTACAAACAAGTTTTTATCACATAAAAGTATTAAAGAAACATTGACGAATGTTGCGATACAGTAATTTTATCAACTTTAACTACCGCGTTATCAGATCAATTATTAGCAAAAACTAATAAATCTACAATCGATCAAGAAACTGTTTTATCCTTCACTTTGCCGCGGAAGAAGTCATGGTATTATACTCATCACCTGACAAGACACTCCAAATATATTCTTCCAATGTCACATATTTCGATAGCAAAAGAAACTTCCATGCATTCTACTCAAATATCATATTCTCAACTAGTAGAATCATTAATGCCAAGAAATCTAAAGTTAACATTGAATCGATATGAATTATTCCTCCATTATCCGTGAATCCCACTTCTCGATCCACTGAATATTCCTCTGATGATTGTCGATCACCGGAAAATACTGAATGTATAAAGTAAGGGATTGGAGGGATATCCACTGATCTGCAGCCAACGCCACAAATCCCAAAACAAACTTCTTATTGTCACCAACAACAATACAAAGTGATAGGCTTTCCCGAAATTGATGTCAGAAGTGCAGAAAGCAAGTTTCGATGAATTTTTTGATCCTCATTATGCAAAGTTCTTTTCTTGTACAAATGATGAATTATCAATATTCTCTTTCCTTCCAATTATCATTAAATCAGAAGGTGAAAAATCAATTATGGAGGCAACAATTGAGTCGGATATTTATCGACTAATGTTAGCATCAATCGGAAAGTGAAGAACTGCAGTTGACTTCACTACAAATAAATAGTGGATCATTTGTTAGGAGCATCATTTATACCCGAATTAATATTGAAGTTCTTGTCGACATAATTCAACTCTATTAATTAACGTAACTCAGCAATCAATTTTAATAGGAAGAACTTCACGGGAAGTTCTTCCTATTAAAATGAAAGTGAATTGCATGGATTCACGAGAATCCATGCAATTCATTTTCAGCTTCATATCAAATTTTTGTTAAAGAATCGGAATTTATTCAGTCGACAGCAAACATCTCTAGTGATAATTCCTGAACCAAAGCATTTGCGATAACGGAATCAAGCTTTTCGAACAGTACGAGAAAAGTAAGCGGTGTAAAGCAATGGAAGATAGGAAAGAGATATAATTGGATTTTTTATATCCGATGGCATCAATGAGGAACCGCATTGAATCCGATGGCATCATTGTGGAACCCGTCAAATATCAGAATGAGGGAAGCCTGCTCTGTTACTAATAAAATTTCGTGTCGTACATGTCACTTCATAAGGCTTTGCATAGACACAGATGTGTTTGTCTTGAATGAAAGTAAAGCTGCAGTTAGGAAGTTGCCGTTATTTCTTTTCGTCAACATCGTCTGAAGTGTCCTCTTCGTAAAGGTTACTTATTTCATAAAGATGAAAGATTCTAGGTGGGTGCTTCAAAATGACAATAGATAATGACATAATAAGGAATCAACAAAACAAGTAGCACATGCTAAAAAACGATTCATTTCCTCTCCTCTTCCTTGAGATTTATTTTTTTAAAGACATGCAAAATTCGCATCTATCAATTAACTCATTTTCTGTGTCATTGAGACAATGGAACCAAAATATATTCTGTAATAGTTCTTATCGGATGAATTCTTATTTGTTAATGAAGAGGAAAAGTAATGCATCCGGTAAGGTTTGTCTTTCTTTATCCGTGTTTTAGAAATGATTTTTCAGGTATGATTGCAGTGGAAAGCAATTATAATATTCCTCCAATCAAACAATGTAAAATATCACATACTTTGTACTTCAAAAAGAAAAAAAAGAAATTCATACTGTGTGGCCGTACATATCGATTTCTCATTGGAACATTTTAAAAAGTCACAGAATTGATATGCCAAATTGTGCAGAGCCAGTTCTCCTTCGTTCATCTGTTTGTTTGTTTAGTTTTTATCATATCATTCCCTCGACCAACTGACAATAGTACTTGTCAGTTCAGTTAATTGTTGTGATGTGTGATTGTGCATTGTTCATCCATAAGTTCGTGCATCATTTGGATGATGCAATTCTTCTATATGCATTATATATCATTTCCTTATTTGTTATTTGACTTGGCTGTCAAATTTCCATTACTTTCCCGACTGCTCTTGCAGTCGTTTTGTTCATCCTATCAAAATTTATATTAAATATTTTAGCTGGAAAATATGATAATGAAAGAAATGATAATTCTCTAATGCTTACTTTAATAAATAAATCAAACTGGATGATGGAAGACGGAATGTATAGAATTTTAAGATACCGCCAAGAAATTCGAATTGATTCATTTCAGGATGGAAATGGTTTCTGATATCGTTGATGAATAAGTTCTTGATATATAATTACTGATATTTCATAATTCGAATGAATTACCATTTTCTTTTTTATGTACTATTATTTCAATAATAAATAGTAAAAAACTTTTAATCATTTCA